CCAGGGGAGGGGGTGGAGGATGAAAGGCTGAGTCTGGAGGAGGTGGGGGAGGAAAGGCTGGGTCTGGAGGAGGTGGAGGAGGAAAGGCTGGGTCTGGGGGTGGTGGTGGGAGGATGTTGGATGATGATGAAAGTAGTGGCGGGGGAGGTGGGATGTTTCCAAAGTCCTGGGGAAAAAGAGAAAATACAGCCATCAAACATCTTGTACGATGTGGACGAATGTAAACTCGTACGTGGATGATGAACTGACTTATATGGGAAAACATTTTAACAAATTCTAAAAGTCCTTAAACTTTGATAGGTTTCTTTTAATGTTCAACCCATGGGCAGAGTTGAAGATGACGTTTTTGTCTTCGGTTCAGGTAAAAGAATACTTCACCTTTGATTCTGGTTCATTTTGAATCGTGGTAGCGTGACCATTGGCCTGATTCAGTGATTTGGCTGCGAGAAAAGACAGAATTGGCTGAAACACAGTGTACAGTAAAACCATAACATCTGATGTGATTCCATGTCCTGTTACCTTTCACAGTCGGCGAAGGTGTCGACTGTTCGGAGCTGGATGGCGTGCAGCGGTTCGTCCAGGCCGCGTCAACCACCGCCTTCTTCTCTGCAGCTTTAAAATTGTTGTACAACGTTGCTCCGTACTGGAATGAGAAAGAAACACAGCCACAGTTTGACTTCAGGTTCAGTTGATTTCGAGGTCGACCTGAGGCTGGTCCAGGTTTTCTACCTTAGCGATCCTTATTCCTGTCACCCACAGGTTCAGGCTGGTGATGTCGTCACAGCACAGGTACTTGATGTACTGAGAGTCCTTCTGGATCTGAGGATGCTGGACAGACAGGTGGACACGTTGTTTAGTATCATCTTTGTCTTTGTGTCAGGATTTAAACCTGATATATATATATATATAATTTTAGTTTGTTCAATTTTGACACGTAATCATTAAGACGTTTTGCTTTAACAGCGTGAACCTAAACCCAGAACATCTGGCCCAGAACAACAGTAGAAGTGTAAACATAAGCATTTTTTTCAAATCATGAAAACACACCTGCGGGCAGATGGAGAACACTGGCGACATCATAAAGTTTCAGAACCAACTCGTGTCCCGTTACATTTCATCACTTTAGCGTGAAACCCCCATTGATTTTTGCCTCCGGCTCCTACTGTGGTAAACACAATGACCTGATGTAATGTCAAAGACCACTAGAGGGAGTAACTCTTTTTTTTTTTTTTTAATTTTCAGGTTTTGGGGGGAGTATTTCAGAATTGTCTGAGGATCTTCCTCACGGCTGGACTTTCAGCATCTCGTCCTCCTGTCCATCCCTGTCCTCTGAGGCTTTACTTTGTTTTCTCTGGTTGCTCATTGACTTTCTGTGCGTCTCTGGATCCTCCTTCTCTTTAATCCTCTCAGTCTCATCTCACACTGTCTGCTGATTGTACTTTTTTTTTCTTCCCCAGAGTAGAGAGAGGAAAGGGAAGGCTGCAGACTTTCACATCCTCTTTGGACTCAACCCCATCAGCCCAATTTTATAAAACTCCCCGTCAGCGTTTCTCAATCTTTAATGAGCAACCAGTGGGTTCTTCTTTGCATCATTGTTAATGTTAAGTTCTGGATTTTTATGGATTTTTTCACGACCCCCGCCCACAAACACACACCCCTCCCCACCACTCGATCTCTTCAATTTAAAGTGTTCCAGTTTGCTCTTCGTAGACCACTTGTAGCTAAATTGAATGAAGTGTCTTTCACTTCTTCAAACTGGAGCTTTTATTGGGTTTCAGGTTTCCAGTAAAGAGCAGTCGTTTGTCTGTGTTTCTGTGACAGGTTGATGTCTGTTCCTGCTGCAGCCTCCTTAATGGGATACAGAGCGACGTGCTAACACGGGATTCACAAAATAAATAATAATCAAATGTAATCAAATCAATGAGTCACTCTACAGCAGGAGCTCAGGGCAAAAATAAATTAAATTAAATTATGTCAATATGCAAAACATTTTCATCAAAGGGCCTTCTGATTCATCTGAATGAAATCTATGGAAAATACTTACTTTACTAACTTTTAGCAAAAAACATACAAAAAAATCTAAAAAAAAATCTTTATTTTTATTTATTTAGATTTACTTAATGAAAAAAGTTAAAAGCTAAAACATAAACGACCAGAATTAACATTCTATTTATCTAGGAATCAATGTATAAAAATTAGCCACATATAGCTTTGAATGCCCTGAGGGGCAACAATATAGGCTAAAATAATAGCTGAAATACGGTTGGCAAAACATAAAATTATATCTGCTAAAGGTTAGCAAAAACCGTAAAAGTAATTTCCTAATTTAAAGACACAGAACCTTCAGATGTACCAGAAGACACCAGATCATCAAGAAAATCAAGATTTGATATTTGAAATTTCTTATATTTTCTTTTCTTGTTTTTTTACCTTGAGGACAAAACAGAAGTCAGTGGGAGCCTTGTGTTTGCTCTTGAAGTCGCTGCCATAGTAGATGTTGACGTTGTCCAACTGCAGGAAGCAGATGAGGTCACGAGACGACTGGAAAGAAAAAGACAGACACGGACGTGACAAGTCGATCTGCAGCATCTTACACTTGGCATCCGTGGCTGCCAGGAGATGTGAGATGCAGAGTAAGTGAATATACAGTAGGAACCCAGCAGGGAGAAGAGTTTGGTTCCGTTCAGCGGTGCGTGAAACAAGAGTCAGTCTGATGAGGCAGAAACATTGACGTCTGTGGATCCACTGAGACGCAAACCAAACGCTGACTTCATATTTCATTATTGGTAATTCTATAGACTTCTCTCTCTGCAGGATTATCATCCAGGACTGTAAAAATCACTCATGTAACCCAGATTACATCTGCCTGTCTCTCTCTCTGACCCCTGACCTTGGTCTTTCCTTTGGGCACGTAATAAATTCCCGAGGCCCTCAGTTGGAAGAGACGCTGCTTCCAGTGCTTCTTGCCGTCTTCTTTGAGGTACAGCACCCCCTCCAGGTCAGGAACGATGATGGAAGACCCGCAAAAGTTCTCCTGCAGAGGCAGAGAAGACATGAAAGGAGGTCACCAACTGTCAAACACCATCAAGTAGGACAAGGTACTTTTTTTTTTCTCAAAGTGTGTGTTTACCTGCACCAGTATCTCTTTGTCTTTATTGTTAATGTCTTTGAGAGTTTTCTTGTCCTTTTTCCACAAATAAAACGTCTGAGGGAACAAATATGACAATGAATTAGGTAAAGCTCTGCTGCTTTTTAAAAAGTTTGTTACTTGTACATTATATTAAAACTCAGTTGACGTTTGAATTTCAGATCAGTTCCAGAAAATTCAAGGACATTTGGCCTCCAACCAACGCAAACTCCCGACTCTGGTGGAAGGGTGTGACGCCGTGACAGCTACGGTATGTTTGATTTGTGTTTTTATTCTCACCTTAAGGCCAGAGAGTGAGACAATCATGTCTTTTCAAAATCCAATTGTTTAAAAGACATTTCATTTTCGTGGACTTGGTGTAAAAAATGACAAACTCTGCCAGAAAAATCAATATCTGCTTTAAAAAGAAAGAAAAACAAAAAGCCCCATATGTGATGGAGGGACTCTGACCTCGTATCAAAGTGTTTCAGGTGAGACACGGCCTCAGAGGAAAGAAAGTCAAAGTTCTCCTGTCAAAAGTTCAGCTGTAAACTGATACTAAGTCGTTGTACTGTAAAAAAAAACAAAACAAAAAAAACCCAGACCTGCAGTTTGAACAGGGGACGTCAAAGACATGATGGAGGCCTTTAAAAATGAGAATATCTCACCATCTTTTTTTTTTTTTCCCCTCAAAGCAGGCATTTGTCCCTGCCAACAGACCAAAGACATTAAATTCACTCCCATTATAAATGGATCTGCTGTATCAACAAATACGTCCAGATCTTTTCCGTCCTTTCCCCCCCAAAGCCATTTTGTCTGATGTATAACAGTGAGGACATAAACGTAAGAGGTCAAACTTCTCCGAGCGAAACACGTCTCGCAATTTACATCAGTGAAAGAAGCCAGATGTGGCTCCTGAGCTGAAACGACCCGGAGAGAGAGAGAGGAGAGAGAGAGAGAGAGCCAGGCAGACCCCAGCCAAGAATAATGAACGGTCCACTGTTGGACAACGGTGACGGAGACATCACTCACACACGGACAGTCACATATTTGTACGTCAAGGTGACTATATTTGGAGACGCACCGACCTGTGGGTTTTTGAAGACCTCGTATTTCTGCTTCCATTCTTTAAAGAGGATTTGGTTCTCGGTGTCCCTGGTCCAGGCCAGCAGGGGCTCCACCAGGTTCTCGTGGTCCTCAAATGACCGCTCTGCAAGAAGAAGTCAAACATGTTCGGCCGTGATTTTAACAATTTTTTCCGCGGTGTTTCAGTTCCTTCCAAAAGTGTCCTTAAAACGTCTTCCTCTTTCAAAGACTCCATCAGAATGGTGTCCTTTGGGTTTTCTACCCAATCTGTCTCTTGATCTACTCTTGTTGTGTACCCTGCAGTAGTCGTCTCTAAACTTCTTGAGGAAACGTTTGACTCCGACTGCTGACATTTGGAAATATTTAAAAACCTTCTTGCCACAATAACAATTTGTCTCCAGATTAACCAATTTTTTAGTTGTTTTTTTTTAACCAATTCAAAGGTCAAGATTACGGTCATGTCTGCAAAGGTCAATAGTTTGTGTGATGGTGCAGCAAACACGGTCATGTCTGCAAAGGTCAATAGTTTGGGTGATGGTGCATGTCTTTTTATAGTTCACCACAGATTATGTGACGATACAGTCCCCTGAAAGTGTGCGTCCTCCAGTCTAATAATTTCAGATTAAGGAACTGACACAGTTCCTTGAAGAGTTCTGTTTTTTTGCGGCCTCTGAGAAACGAGTTAATGCTGAGTCACTTGTTACACTGTACATGGGTCACTCGCATTTTAGATTAAAAAAAAATGTTGCTGGTATGAAAAGATCAGGACTTCAGTCCAACATGTCGTGTAAACTCTCCTCTAAACTTAACAACACACTCTGCATCATTTTTATTGGTGATTTTCTCACTTTCCGTCCGTTTCTCAGCCGGAAAAAAACGTTTCTCGGCACCATCAAACACAAACTGCCAATTCTGGGGTCTGGAGGATCGATCTCCAACACCTAGTGCAGCACCTTTTTTATTCAAATCCCAATCACTTCTAACGCCTTAATCTTCCTTTATACGGTCGGTGTCCTCTCTGTTTACGGCTGGCAGCTGTAAAGATGCCAAAAACAAATGCTTTAGCGTAAGTACTGCCGTTCACACTGTCACATCCTTTAAATCAGCTCGGTTTAAAGTCAGTTTCACAGCAGAGTCCACTCCTTCAGATCAACTTTATTCACCGGATCCATAAAATTCACTCAGAACTTTTCCTCCACCTCCTTGTCTTTGACCACCCCAATCCCGGTCACTCCTTATGGATCTGATTCCTATAGTGTACTGTCATAAAGACACACTCCTCAGTTCCAGGCCTCCATTTGAGTCAGCGGTACACATTCAGTGATTAGCTGCCAGGTTCCCAGTCTATAGTTTGGCTTTTACGTCGTTAGATGAACGGTGAGGCCGCAGCAGTGAATGGCTGATAGACCTGGTTTATAGATGGTACACTTTAGCATCTAGCAAAACAGGTGCTCTGTAGTCGAGTGGCCACAAACATAATCGATATAATGTATGTTCCCTTTGGTATGTATAATGTGGGCCAAACGTAGAGAACGGCTCTCTGTGATCCCTGACTAATATGTCTGGCCCATATCCTGGGATCTAAAATGTTGTCAAGCTAAGGTAACATTCGTTTGCTCCTGTCCTGGTCCATGGACACGTTGGTGAACACAACTGTTTCCCAAATATGAGCTGTTTCTATTGTCAGGCGGTTCCTCGGCCCTTTATTCATGGATGACACATGGTGCTGACCACGATCTCCTGGTGTGGATGAGTCATCTGGTCCACACAACACAAATAAGCTGCTGTCTTTGTCTCAGATTAATTTAACCTACGATCTAGTCAAAAAAAAAAAAAAAGAACAATGCTGACTAGAAGGAAACAACGATGAGTTTCCTCATTTGTTTGGCACCAGGAGAAACATTGACTCACTGTTGCCATCAGGCCGTTACACAGAGACAACAGCGGTGTTACGTCATAGAACTCCCCCTCACCGAGACTGTTAATGTTCTGATTAAAAACATAACTACCATTTGTTCAGCTAACAATGCTAATGTATTTTTTTCCATTTAATTACATGTTGAAATGTTGGCCTTTACATGACATGGCTCCAAATTCTATACAATCAGAATAATATGAAGCTGAAAACATAGCTACAGTTAGCGTCAACAAAATACTAAACTCTAAGCACGAGCTAGGGCTAAGTAAGTTTTTCTCAATAATAACTTAAATAAAGATTTTAGCTCATGTAGCTAAAAATGGTCGAAAATTGCTCAAGAAATAGTCATTGATCGGCCAAAAATAAATAAATAATTGTGGCGAACACAGCTAATTGTTCATAAGTAGCAACACATTAAATTACAAATTCATGAATGTGTTGGAGCGCTGCTGAGAATCTGATCATTTTTGGCTGCAGCCTCATTGGTCTGTAGAATGTGATGATGATGAAGCTGCAGTAAACACCAAGAAAACAGATGGTGACGAGCGGCAGCAGACGGAGTAAATATAGCTACGGCTGTTCAGACACAGGATTGAGATCATAAGGCTCCTATTTCCTCCTGACAGTGTGTGTGTGGGGGGGGGGATGACTGACAGTGTCCGACGCAACAAAAATTAAAGCCACCTGTCTGAGCGACTGTAAACCAGTGAGGTGGAGAGACTACAGGAAAGAGAGGGAGAGAGAGAGAGATGAATGGGAGTCAGATCAGTGGCTGCCGTGTGGCCAATAAAAACACACTCCATCATCTGGAGCAGGATGAAATATCCTGCTCTGTGCAGTGTGTGTGTGTGTGTGTGTGTGTGTGTGTGTGTGTGTGTTTTACAGACACTTGAAAACACGCGGTGTTCTTCCATTGTTAAAGTTCTAATCTACTGCTGCGTTTGTTGATATATTTGCTGCTGGTTCTTCTTCACCGCTGCCAACATCAGACCAAAAATGTATTTTCTTTGTGATTCTCTGCTGTGTTGGTTACATTTACATCAATAATAATTTCCCCTCGTAGATTTATTGGCTTTAAATAACTTATAACACAGACAGTGAACACAACTCAACATGCTTTTGACTAGAACATTCTTTTGCACGTTTTGTAAAAATGTTACTCAATAGTTTGGTTTGTCAAACTGTTGTGCACACAGTTTTTATCCATTTTCATTCATTTTCTTTTCCTCTAAAGAGGAACACTTCATCATTCAGCGAGTTCTACTGTAAGCAGTGGAACATTTCTGCTTTACTTTAACCATGTCACTTTCTAACCACAGCTTACGTCAGCTCAGCTGTGTTCAATTAGTGTTTCTGATTTTTTTTTTTTAATATAATTTCAGATGTGAATTTATTTTATGGCATTGGTGTAAAGTTAAACTTTTCTCCGTTAACTCACCAAGTTGCAGCTCCGGGTTGGTCTCAAACAAACTCCAGGCCACACTACAGTCACAGTGAGTTTTCTCAAACAAGTTGTCCAGAACTTCCCTGACCGTCTGCCTCTCGTCCACCATCAGAGTCTTGGAGCTGCCGTCGTTCATGAGCACTTTGACCACCAACTGTATAAAAAAACGTATTTGAAATGCTGCCACAACTTAAGTTAGGTTGGCAATATGTAGAAGTTCAGCCTATTATAGTTTAAAAAAGCCAAACAATATCTGTATTACAACTAAAAGTCAATCAGGGAAAGCAAAGGTATTCAAAACGTGTTAACTACAATAACCATATATATCCAATCTTATAACCTTTACCTAAATATAAACTTGGCAGAGTTAGCCTACCACAGGTCAAAGTTGAGTAATTTTCTTGTATTTTAAAAAAACTTCAGATGAAGCGACATATCGACTAACATTGTCTAAAACAAACCTTTTTTTTTTGTTTTTCTTGTTGTCAACCATCGCAGGTTAGAGACTGAACCCAGATCACGTGCAGCTTGTTTGTTTCCTGACTGTAATTACGGCCTTCATGCACTAAATGGTTGTTTCTGTCGACTAATGTTAGCTGTGAACTCAGAGGAGGCTCAGCATCAGCACTTCTGTCTCCTCCACCACTTTCCTCTCCTCCAAAGCTGGTTGGTATTGATATAATTTAACTCTGTAGCAGAACAGACCAGGATCAAATGGCTTCACGCTTCCTCCTCATCTGGAGAAAAATCCTACTTTTTGGAATGCTTAGCACTTTCACAGAACCAAGGTCGCTCGGCCGTGCCAGGATTTTTTTTTTTACTATTTTGATAAAGATGGAGCCACAGAAGTGTTTTAAGCATTATGGAACAAATATTTCTCAACATCCAGTTTGCTGGTAGAAAACAATGTCATCTTGAGTCTGTGGTTGAAAGACACGCCACTTTGAATGACGTTCCTCTTTTGCAGCTCTCTCTCCTGCAACAGAATTTGAGGGGAACGTATGTTTTCGATCGCAATCTGAGAAAAAAACCACCTGCGTCTCATTGGTCTCACAGCTCTAGGGCCAGATGTTTCTCAGAAAGTGACTCAGTTTCCTTAGCGTCTTCTCACCGAAACAAACATTTTCTCCCTGGTTCCTCTTTGAAATTTGGGCCAATCTCTAAGACATTTCAAGGACGAAACTCCCTCAATGCAAAACTGCCGAGTCAGAGCCTGTAGCTAAGATTAACATGCATCACAGACTCTTCAGTCTACTGGTTTAAAGATGAGAAAGCAACCGTTTATCACCCTGAAGAGGAAGCGGTGCTGTTCTGCAGGCCATGAACGCAGGGATATATCCCTGGATGAAAATAGCTGTCTGTTAACTCTGATGGATCACCGCTTGGGAAAAAAAAAAAAGGAACAAAGAAAGAGCTGTGCTATATTTGAACGTCAAGTCTCTTAGTGCATGTAGCCATAATTCTTTCCCGTCTTTAAAGCCGTCCAAGGAGAGGATGATCAGTCAGGGTGTTACATGTAGGTCTTACCTTCTTCACTTTGGCTTCCTTCAGCTTCTCCAGCGCCAACTTGATTTTGTCTGCCTTCAACTGAGCCTCGATTTCCTCCTAAGTGGTACAAAGAAGGAAACAAGGGAGAATTGATGGGGTTTTTTTAACACAAAAAACTCCAACGTGTGTTGACTCTTGAGTCTCTGGACTTGAGTCACAGACAAAACCGTCCTTAAATATTGAAGCTGAACTTAAAACTCAACTATATAGATTATAGAAAATCCCTTTTTTTTTCAAATTAAACCAAATAAAAATATAACTAATAGTTGGTCAAGAAGTTTCTAAAGGTTAGTTGAATAGTAATTAATTAGTTATTAGATAACAAAACATGATTACAAAAAAAGGTAAAAGTTAGCCCAAAGAGAAACACAAAACAGATGTAGCCCACATGGCTAAGTGTTAGCTAATAAAGAAGATTTTAGCTAAAAGATAATACAGTTGGTCCAGAAAGAGCTAAAGGTGGAGCCAACCTTGAACCAGTAAATAAATAAATGTTAACCAAAAAATACAAAAAACTCAATGGAAAAAACATTTCAGCTAAAACTAAGTCTACCCAAGTTTAGGTAGGCTTTAGCTAAGCATGTTGTGAAGTAGGTGAGGTTACAAAAGGTCAACGAGACATTGAAATTGGTGTTTAAGTGTCAAATATGGTAAATCAATTGGTGATATTTTTTAATAAAACTTTCCCCCACAGGTGTAAAGGATCCTTTCAAGTTTCAAGATCTAATCTCCAGGAACCAGCCCAGCAGAACCACGAAACCTCTCGCCAACGTCTTCAAACCCAGGTATGAAATAGAAATTTCAGTCATAAGCAGCAGCCGTGTTTTTAATAAAGCTGTACGACTGTTGCTAACTCTGCCCCCGCGCTGCTGCTGCTGCTGCTGCTGCATGGACAGCACAGCAGTGAGGTAACAATTTCTGCAAAAGCTATAAGGCTCCAGTCAGCCTTCCAACCCCCGCCCCACTCACACCTACCCCACTCGGACCCAAAGTATTGATTCTGTTACTCTTTCTTGCGTCACAGCTTTCAAGTACTTTATCTGTTCCAGACAGAGACAAAAAAAAAAACACAGACAGACTCGCCGTTGTTTCACCTCACGCTGTAAATGTCCAGAAACACCTTGGACGTGAGTCCTGTTCCTTAACAGCTATTCCAGAAAGACACGTCCTCAAAGGAACAGAGGAGAGTATATATATACACACACACATATATATATATATGGTATCCTGTCATGAATGTCTCAGACAGTGTCTCATCAATGAACTCAGATTCAACAATGGCTGCGTTCCATTTAGCTTCTCCAGGCAGCTACTTTCACACTGCCCTGGCTTCCGAGAATAGAACAGAACGCTGCCTTTAGGTGTGAAGTAACATGGGTTTTGGCAAAAAGTGTAACACCGTAAATACATTTTCTACTGTGATGGCATTTCCTTTACACACATATAAAAAAAAATCTATAAAACTTCCCCACAGACACTACAGTTATAGGTTTTATGTGACCCATAAGATCTGTCCTAAAAAATATCTTCCTATCACCAACTATAAAGATTTTAGTATTCATCATATATTACCTTTTTTTTTCAATAATTTCCAATATTTCATAGGCAATTTATAAAAAAATGTGTGACTACGTTCAGAGATATTTTTGTGATATTTCAGTTTTAGTCAACATCAAATTCTATTTTGTAATTTAAATATTTTTGATAGGTTTACCCTTTTTAGATAATGTTGAGTTTATTTTGCCTTTTTTTTATAATCTGTTGAATTTCTTGTGTTTTGCAATTAAAAAAAAAAGTTTTTTAAGATGTACTTCAAATACCATTTCTACTTTCAGATCTGCCCATCCCTTCTATAAGTAACACCCGCCCTCAGCCCTTCTCAATTATGACCAGTGTTCTGACATGAATAAACAAACGCACCTTAGTTGGTTTGGTGGCCTGTGGGGGAGGAGGTGGTAAAGGGGAGGTGATAGAGGAGGTGGGGGTGTGAAAGCTGCTGCTCGCTGGTGATGCTGGTGAATCACTGGAAGAGGAAGTAAGAACTTTAGGTGGTGGCGCCGGCAGGCCTGACGGCAGAGGCGTTGGTGATGGGACTTTCAGTCCTTCTATCTCTGCTGCGAGTTTCTCTTCTGTTGCGCTCAGGTCAGCGACCAAATCGGCCATGAGGGCGTCCAGATCATTGTCCTCCAGCTCAAGCAGGGACTCTGGTGTAAACACAAAAGTTTAGTAAAGAAAGGCCTGCGTTCAATAGCTTCTGCCTACAGAGTAGCAGTTACAAGGCTAACAGAAAGATTTGGTTATTTAAGCTGTGCTTTTCTGCACTTTTAATATGCTCAAATTATTATTACAAGTGTAACGCAACATGGACAGATCCTTTATGACTATAAAAACTGTCCTAAAAACTATGACTGGACATGGACTTTTCAGAAGTTAAGATCTAGTGCCTTATAGGATGTCAATTTACAGGTTCCCAAAAACTGATTCATGTGGCATTGCACTTGTAATATTATTTTGAGCATAGTAACCATCAGACCCCTCCCTGTTTTTGGACACAATTTCCATTCTTTTTTCAATTTTCTACCAGTGGTTCTCTGAACCTCATTTTGTAAATCTGTCTGTTTTTGTCCTTTAAAAGTCAAACATTTTTGTGCCAAGGATGTGACATGTGGAGCTGCCGTTAGTGACGGACTGTGAAAGTTACTCGTTGCCAAATTCTTTTAGCCTCCCTTATTTCAAAGATTGTATTTATACATTCATTCATCTCTCTCTTTGCCCACCGCTGCATATGAAACAAAGGCCTGATACACCGAGCCTCCGGCCCACTCACTCAACGTCCCAGTAATTGCAACAAGCAAAGCTGGATTTTGTGGCCTGACGTGACGCTCAAACTGCTGACTGGCCAATAAAGTTGGAGTTGTCGGAGGTAATTTAACACCAGAAATAAAAAGCTAGTGCAGCATTTTTTTTTTTTCAACCACCACAACCACTTCTGCAGCATCCACTCAGAGTTATTACATTTTTACAATTAAGTTCTCATACTGGTGCCTGCAGGGCTTTTTGACGTTTCACTGCCTCAGGTGTCATAATGTCTTTGTTCTGCCCTCTGGTTGTGAAATTTTATTTTTACTCCTAACCTTAGTGGTTTTGCTTTTTTTTTGTTTTTTAAACTGTATGACAAAAATACAGACCATTACCGGAGTAAAAAGGTTGTAAAGTTTTACGTCTTTGCTTTTGTCTTTTTTCATGTATACAGAGAGGTGTTGTCAGTCACGGACCCTGGATCTACTGATAGTACTACATCCTGTCTTTGCATAACAGCTGTGTTGGTAAAGACGATTAGGCAACAACAAAAACAAACACCCAGTTCTTCTTCTAGTATTTCTTCACCCGTGACAAGAAAATGTTAAGTCACCGTTCAGGTCGGTGAAGCCGATGGAGAAGTTGGCCTCCTCCTCCTCCTCCTCCTCCTCCTCCTTCTTCTTCTTCTTGGTGCTGGTGGTGGGCAGAGACGCAGACTCCTGTTCAAGGCTCTACAGCAGAAAAGAAGTGAATAAGGTAGTGTTTTCAGATTGCATGATAGCATATCTGTACACCCCAGTCCCTCCCGACCCCCTGCCCTCTAGAGGGTGAGTGAGTTAATGCACAACACATTCAAAGTACACCACACCACATACAGTCCTTCATCAAATACTATGTAAAGAAAGTATAATGTTTACACATTTGAATGATCCATCTCTTCTCAGGTTTTACACCTAACAGGGGCTTCTGTGTCATTCTGCCCCCCGCCCTTCCCCTTTTACCCCTCTCCACTCAGAGTAGATGGAAGTGATTTTAAACGATGGCAGAAAAAAAGAGAAGCAGCAGCATCAAAGCAACCAGTGGGGTTTTTCACTTCACTAAGAGAGGTGGGGTGTGTGTGCGGGAGGGGGTGTGTGTGTGTGTGCGGAGGTTCATTCTTTTGCCATTTGACCTGCCCCTGTGGAAGAAAATGTAATTTATAGTTGTATAACGGCCACAAACAGCAACCCCCCCCCCACCCCACCCCTGCTGTGTGTGTTGTGCTTCAGTCTCCAGTATCTCGGTGATCGATGGCGGGGTTTAAGTGAGTCTGTCGTCTGTCTCTGAGGCTGAGGAGTCTATTTAGGATGAAAGAATTAACCCTGAGTGGTCTGGGTGAAATGTGAACGTGGAACATTTCGTCCGTGCAACCATCCTACGAGGCTATTAACACAAGAATGAGAGAAGAAAAAGTAGATGCTAACCTAGGAATAGCAGTAGCGAATATTTAGCTAAAACGTTAGATTGGAGGTGGTTTAGAAATGAGTTCCTGTTCCTAAAAGTTTTTACTCAAACGCAGATAAAAGTTATCCAAGCAAAAAAAAAAATGTTTGGCCAAATTCTGCAAAAACTGCTAATTTAGGACAGAGGTTTGGGGTTGAATTTTGGCTAGTTGACATTTTTTTTATACATAGAAACAAATATGTTGAACTGGAGCAATATCGACCTTAGCTAATGGTAATATTAAGCACAAAAAACCTAAAGGTTACAAAAAAAACCCAGGTTTAGGTACAGTTACTAAGGAATAGCTATTGGTTAACCACAATGAAACAAAAATAGATCAAACTTTTTTAGTAAATATAGCAACAAACAATAAACAAAACGTCAATTCAAAACATGAATATAACAAAGGTGTCATGGACCTCCTGTAAAATCTCCAGGATCTACTTAAGGCCCCAGAGCCAGAGTTTGGATCATTCGTTCTTAAATGTAATGGCAGTTTTTTCCTTCATGCGTACCTGTGTGAGGAGGTCCATCTCCCCCAGGAGGTCACTGAACATGGCGTCAAGGTCATCCATCTGTAGACAAGAACAACAACAGACTCTTAGCACAAAAATAACTCTTCTTATTGGAATTCCAGGTGCAGCCGTGAGCCGCATTGATCAGCACCGTGAGGCTGCAAGGAATTCTCATTGATTGGATACAGAACGTTTGGAATGTGGAGACGGATCCATTTTTTTTCCGAGGCACAAACGTTGGACGTACATGTTGCTGCACAGCCTGTGGTAAGTCAAGGAACTGCATCTTTCACGCTTCTACTGTATCTGTGCCCTGAGGCTGTGACAGTGATCAGGAAAAATATTCCTAACTTCCAGCTCGTTCTTTTCTCCCGTCAAAACGTGTCACATCTTGTCAATGCTGAAGTGAAACCGTCAGTGTTGTTTCAGTTCAGCATTCAGCCTCCAAAATAACCCCCCTAACAGATTGTTTTCATTTGTTTATGTTTTATTGGCTAATCTGGAATAAGGCCATGTGAACCGAAACCTCATCATAATCCCATTCTTCGTGATGTCAGATTAGTACAGTAGCCCGAAGGAAGACTGCGGTGGAGGTGTTTTCCCTCAAAACACGTCCTGCAGCATCACTAAAAGTTTCCATCTGAAATCCTGCGCCTGATCTGTCTCTCATGTATCATTTGAAGCCTCATTTCTCAACGCAAATGTTATGATGGGCAGGAGGAGGCCGTCCAAACACGGCTGCTGTTTTCTTACACTGGAACATAAGCAGCAGTAAAGTCAGAAGCATGACTTCAGGGGAGGTGTGTGTGTGTGTGTGTGTGTGTGTAAGTGAGTTCAATCAGTCACTGCAGGGGCGTGGATAGAGTCCTAACTACAGTCAGTCCAAGAAAACAAATACAGTGTGTGACACCACCTGAAACTAAGACCTGTAGAAAAGTATAATCAAATTGTCCAGCTAGTATTAGCTTGTAGTGCTACAATGGTTCTGTCCTCTGTCCTCCCTCCATAACCATTGGTTTAAATCAACCAATTAGACTTTGTCTCCTCTCCAGACGTTGTTTGCATAACTTATTTTCCTTCTCCTGCTCCTGCTGTGCTCCATTACCTATAATGATATTATCTAAATTAATGCATAATGAGCAGCGTTCCCTGGTGGCAGATTGTGTGTACGCACAGTAAAACGCCTGTTTTACACACCGTGAGATTCAGGAATGAAAGAAAGATAATCTAAACGTTAGCAGGCGTTTAATCAGAAGACACCGTAGACAAAGGGTTCGATCTGGGAGGGCAGGGGAGACGAGTGCGATTGATAGCGTTCCAGGAGAGAGAGCACGCAGCGATGATGTGACACTGTGTTTCTCATTTGAATGTGAAAAGTGTCCAGCTGTGAATCACTAACAGATGCTGCCTGTGTGTAAGGATGGGAGATTATGAGCAGATAATGTCCAACGTTCAGATCCTGGAGATTAACTAAGACATTTACAGACTGTGTTATGGTCACACAGCTGTTTTTCTAAGAAGTTTGCTTCATTTCTGCTGTCACTTTTTTATTTCTCCATCTGCTCCTTTTTAACTCCTCCACCCTTTTCCGAATGGTTTGACCCAGGGAGGATGTGGTGGAGGGTTGAACTTCCTGTTGTGTTGTATTGTGTAGAAAATGGTGACACTAGCAGCCACCCTGGAAGGTTATCACATAATTCAGTCCTTTTTGGTTAAAATATTTAAACACTTAAAAAAAAGGCATCTGTTTTTGACAGAATTGTTTCTGTGCTAAAGATAAACTTAGTCAGAATTTGCTGCAGGGGCCAATTGGTGTTGCCATGGTTCGCACTCTTGCCTTACAGCAAGAAGGTCGAGGGTTCAAGCACCAGTTTTATCTGATGGTCTTCTCATTTGTAGTCTTCTCTGGTTCACTCAATATTTCATAGGTGTGAATGTGAGCGTGAATTGTTGTTTGTCTCAACATATGGTCCCTTATTCAGTGGGGACATTCACAGTGTGAGCCTTTGCATTTGTCACAGGCTGCCACAGGAGGCGCTATTAGGGATATGTGTTTCCTCTGGGAATTGAACGCAGGTTTCTCCGTTCTCTGCTCGTAAGGCAGGCATGCTAACCCCTATACTTCTAGACACCGCTCATTGTCCTACCATAAGGCTAGCGTACCAACGACTGTTTTGTTTTTGTCTTTTTGTTGTTGTTTTTTTATAGCAAGAAAAGCTAAAAATCCTACTCTGAAATCTTGAACAATAAGAATCCAAATACAGCAGATCAACCAGTTCTTCGCTCCCTAACTCCCAGTGGTAAAATAACGACTTTGACAGAACATGGTGACAGTTCTGTAGCTCATTAAAATCACTCCAGAAGAGAGAAAACACATCGTAAACTGTTCTTTAAAAGCCAAGCGTGAGCTTCATCTGCTGTCATCCAGTGAAGTGTCAGAACAAATCAGTGCCTTTGATTAGATGTTTCTTGAAAATGTAACATTCTGACGTCCTTGCATAAAGATAGGGATCTGCTGTGAAATTGAAATAAGTTAAAAAAAAAAATTACATCAGGAACTCATGAGAACCATGGACATGTAGGAAGAACGTGACTAATAGATTTTTTAAAAGAGCCACAATTGATTCACTGACTTGCTACCAACCAACCAAAGAGCTGAGGAGAATCGGGCGAAAATCAATTTTGATTCACATTCCATACATTAATACCCTCTCAGAAAAGTCGGCTGCCTACTTTTCTGCAGCGTTTCTGTTTTCCTTTCACAAGCTGCCCCTGAAAATATGTGATTTGTCAGCATTTGTAAATATTATTGGAAACACTCAGCCATGAAACCTGGAAAAGCTCCAGACTCGCACCATGCATTGTGAAAACACACACCCGTGAAGCAGCATTTCTGCTGAGTTAAAAGGCCGGACGTGCAGCCAGCGAGTGGACGCTTCGATCAAAATACCGTCAATTGGACAGTTTGAGACTCAAACTTAAACCAGGCGAAAACACTGACAAAAAAAATCAATCATTAATTCACAACGGTGGTGTTGTACAAAAGGAGGAACTTCAGAAACAGGGAGCATCACTTTGTTCCAACCTAGAGGAACCTGAGCCACCAATCAGCCAATCACAAGCCAGAAACTTTCACCAATAAACTAGGCCTTCATTTGACTGCCATAAAGAATTATTAAGTTAGGTGTTTTGTCTGTTAAAGTGTGTCAAAGTTAGCGTCTCTGGTGCAGTCACAGAGGCATTAACGGAGGTGTATTTCAGGTTCTGAAATCCTTTTCCTTTTTAGGCATCTTTTAGCTCGCCTGCTAATGGCCAAGCATGCTAAGATCCTTACATAATTGGGTTTGATTTAGGGCAAAATGGAGAAGTAATGGTGAAATACAGTTGTATTTGGAAGTCAGCCTCTCTAAGATTCTTTAATTTATCTATGTAAACCTTACAATAAGCTAGCATTGCTAACTACCGCAAACGAAACATTTCTTTTCACCCTGGATTTTCAAACTTTTACCAAGAAGTTCAACAGAAAATCAAACTTTATGTTAGGAGTGACTTTCACAAAGTTACGTACTCAGCCTCAGACTCCAGTTAAACATGTGTCTAAAGACTTGGTCACTGGAGAAAACCTACACTTAAATCAGTCGCCGCCGAGGAAAAGCCCTTGTAGATCATTCTGGATGTCTTTTACCCCAAAAAATTAAAAACATTTCTATATAACCTTGAAGACAGTGGGAGTGAGAAACTATGCTCTAAAAAAAGAAAAATGGCAAAAACAATTCAATAATTCTCATAAGTGTTAGTTACAAGATAACCTATGGTTATCGAATATATAGATAGGACAAACACTCATATATTTAGCTTAAAAATAACCACAAGTTATATATGTCGATGGCAAAAAAAGTAGTGCAAGAAACAACATCTGAAAAATAGCTTAAAATCTACACTTTAGTCAAAAAAGTCCCAGCTTTTGGAAAAGCTACAAAGGTAAGGGGTAAGATTTGCTAAAGGTTAACTGTACTTGTATGCTAGCTTTACTTATAGCATATTAACCAAAGATTAGCCAAGCTTTTAAAAAAGATAAAAAACTTAAAAAAAAAAAATATGCAGGCTTGTAAACCGACACAAGCTCCGACAGTTTCATTTCCTGTTCCTCTGTCAGCAGAAGTATGCAGGCTTGTAAACCGACACAAGCTGCGACAGTTTCATTTCCTCTTCCTCTGTCAGCAGAAGACTTTTTTTTCTGTCATCAACTTTGATGAAACACTGTGTGTAATTATTTTGCTCATTTTCTTTTCTTTTAACTTTTAAACTGTGATTTAATCTGGTACTGGAAGCCAAATGGCACCATCGTGTTCCTGTGATCACCCAGAAACTGACAGCGCAGTGAGCTTTTATAAATCAGAGACCAGGACTATCAGTTTCATGTGCTCATTGAGTCATCTAGCCTTTGGACTCCAGTGCTGGACCCACCCAGTTGGACTGGAGACAGGGACGGGCTTCTTGTTCTGTCTTAGACCTGAACAAACCCCTCCTAACACCGTCTTTGCCCCTGGTACACTGAGGAAATCACACTTTGTCCCAGCAGAGCTAAAACATCTGAGTTTTCAGCTGCTACCCTAAAGTGACAGATAAATCTGGGAAAAAACACAAACCAAGACGGGATTTGACTAATTTTAAACCAGGATTATTTCAAATGAATCCATTCTCCATTATTTCTGCCCTAACTCAAAGAAACCACCACATGTGACGAGGGTTACAAAGATGAAAAATGCCGTTAGAGGTGTTTACTGTTAACTGAAGTTACAGCGTCCACGTTGACTCACCTTGTCCACTGTGTTGGTCCCTGATTTACCAAGTCAGTTTCAAAGTCCAACCATCAGATCGGGCGAAAATGATTTTTCTCTAAAGTAAAAGTTCGACAGCTTCAGTGCGGGCTGCGTTGATGTGGACGGCATCTGCCTGCCTGACTTTGTTGACTCCTTCCTGCTCAATGCGGAAGTTCAGGTCCAGACCTGTCACTGCATTCTTGTTCAGCCTATACACACACACACACACACACTTTCACAACAGCCCTGTCAGGGCAGCGCTGAGCCAACCTCCACCAACTCCAACCCACCTTCCATGCAGCTGTTCAGAGCTGCCGAGGGCCAGGAGGGAAAAGTCCAAGTCTGCACCGGGGTGTAATCAAGACTGCGAGGCCGTTGGTGATTGACAACCATTTGAGCAGATGATAGAGTGTGTGAAGTGGGGAAAAAAAAGAGGATAAAATAAAATCTTGTTGGGTGTTGGACAGAAAGCTGAGTCAGCGGGTGGAATGAGACCGAGTTAATAATTCACCTCGCAGAAAAGTGATTTACAGCACAGAGGTGGTCACGTGTCGCAGCCGCACCATAAAATACCCAGGAATAAAGAAGGAGATGTAGCTGTTAGCCTTATTTACTTGTTGAGTAAAAATCAAGAATAAAAATACATTTTAAAAAATCCTGTGTTGTGAAACAAGGTCATGCAGCGTCTGTGGGAAGGTTAAAAAAAAACAAGAGAAGTTGAGCTGCTGTCAACGTCTGAACAGGATGTTCCTCTTATCTGAGCTGCAGAGACACATCATTTTATTTACATTTCTCCTTGAATCAAATCTTCATCACATCTTCATCTTACACTACACAAAGTTTACACAAAGGAAACTGTTTCCAAATTAAAGTAAGCAGGTATGAATATATATTTATACAAAGGGTGTTTAATAGCACTCGTCTTAATCACATATTTTTCTGATCTCCTCCCAGAAACGTAATCTTTTTCACAGTTTTAAGAAAAAAGACCCCGGAAGTGAAGGTCACCCCCCCCCCCCACACCCTCTCTCTGTGGTGAAGCCTGTCATCTCTCGGTCGGACTCAGGACCACAGGAGGAAACCAAATAACCTTGTGTCAGTGGACCAGCCGTTCTTGACTGCTGATTTATTAAACACTGAGAACAGAAATCAAACATGTGTCTCAACCTTCTGTCTTCTCTCTGTCTGTCCCTCAGATGCAGACAAACACATGGACACCAGGGGGCCCAGAGTTCCCAAACCCGCTCCGGTGTTGGAGCTTCAGCGTGAACACTTCAGTGGTGAGGATGTTCTTTAAATGTTTTATTGTATCTTTGCAGCTGTGGGTTTTTATATTTTAATGATCAAACAACATCAAGAGTGGAGTTAAAAAAGAAAGAAAAAAAATACATCACCAGAGGAGGAGTTGTGACATTAGAGACGACGTGTTGTTAAAGTGAAAAGCAAACCTCCAACACTTTTTTTTCTCTATAAGAGAAGGTGACAAAAACAGTGAGCTCTCTACAGAGGACACACTGTCACCATGATGCTGCTGCTGCTGCTGCTGATGGTGATGATGATGATGGTGATGTGAAAAGTGCTGTGTGTTGCAGTGCCCTCTGTGTGTACTCTGCTGTACTGTAACATGCCAAGTGTTATTTGACCTCGGCTGGGCTTAAACAGAGCCGCATGTTTCTGCTCTTTCTGGCACTCGGGCTGGTTTTCCAGCCTCGTCCAACAAACAGGGAAAGTGAGAGTTCATTTCATTAATGATATGAGTCAAACTGGCCTGCGTGGACGGGGACACGTCTGCCAAGAAAACTGGAAGGAAACGATGAACTCTGGCAGGGAAGAATAAACTCACTGATCGTAAATGGAAATAATGGTGATTGTTAGAGGCCTGTGGTATGAAGTAGTCAATCAGAACAACTCGGAATTATGGGATATGGTGTTGAAAGTAAAAAAAAAAAAAAAGACAACAAAAACCCCCAACAAACTTTGTCCAAATTATGGCTCCCACTGCCAATTGTGGCACAAATACAGGCTTTGTGTGGCCCTTAACTTTTTTCTAAAAATATATATTTTTTCTTATACAGATAATGTTTGATTATAGACAGGTATTATTTAGTGTTTTTTAATTTTAAGCGTGTTTTGTTGCTCTAGGTATGAAGATAAATAGCTTCAACTAATGGAAAAAATATAATTGATATTAAATATTGAAGAAAGTTCATTTAAATAATAACAAAATGAGGTGTGGACGTAAATCAGTGTTTGAACATCTTAGAGTTTAAACACTGATTTAAAAGTCGAACAAACCTAAACTTTAACAATTTCGCCACATCAGAGGTCACTTCACAGAACGAGGGTGAACTTCTGTGAAAATTCCTAAAACCAGTTGTGGTCTCCACATTCCTGACTCCTGACCTTTGTGCTCTGTGTGTACAGCAGGTCCGGGCCTGGTGTTGACAGGGACTGTATAACATGGAGGAGGCTGCGGGGTCTGAGGACCAGCAGCTGTCTCAACATTTAGACTGTGATAAACACAGGACAAAGGAGAAGACACGGGATCCAAAGGTGAGGGTCGCAGGGAAATCCATGGTCGTACTACCGTAGAATACGACGGTTTAGGCAAAAAAAAAAAAAAAAACGACTATAAAATTAATGTTTTTTATTCCCTGTTGATGTGATTTCCATATACATTTAACTCAGTGGTTCCCAAACTAGGGGGCGCCTTTTGCAGGGAGGGCACATCAGGACAAATTCGTTTAGATTGTAAAGCTGTCTTTGTTTGTGCCACAGTGAGAGAATTGGACTGATGTGTAATTTTATTGCCTTTGTTTTATGAATCTGGCTGAAAATATTCCTCAAGGTTTTTCTCCGTTAAACTTTTAGCTGATGGTTTTAGACTTTTGTATTTTATTACTTTATTATTGTAAAAACATAAGAACGAGAACAAGTTGGTTCTGTTTAAAATTGTGTTTTTGGTGCAAAAGTTTCTTCATTTATCTGATGAAAATGTGAAAAATAAGGACCTTAGTATCTGCTAACACCGCTGCTTATACAGGTGTTATTATTATTACTCATATATTTAGTTGATTCTTTTTACACTTTTATAATAAAACACTTGTCTGACTTTAACAGAATTCTTTTCCTTATGTGTGAGTGTGTGAGTGTGTGTGTATTTGGAAGGTGAAGGGTTAATTTGTGGCCAGGAAACCTGATGCTAATTAAGCCTGAGGAATGCCACATACTGACATAGTAGTGCAGGAGGCTGCAGAGCGGCGCAGACACGGAGGGAAGCAGCGGGAATTCTGCCCGTGTCTAATGTTTTTATTCCCTGGACTCAGACTGGAACCTCAGCACTGACGCTGCCGTGAGGACGGACAAAGTTTTTTTCTTTTTCACCACTTTTATCTTCATCAACCCTCATCACCAGCTGGATGTTTTTCTGACGCTTGACAAAGATCATTCCCGGAGTTTTTCCATTTGGGAATTTCCGTCCGAAGTGATTTTGTTTTCTTTTCTCTCTCCAGCATTTTCCTGATGCCAAAATGATTTCCCTAACACCGATGCTCTCTCTGCTGCTGCTGCTGCTCTCCTGGGTGTCGGTCCACAGCACAGCGCAGCCTGGCGCAGACTTCTGCCGAGGGGTGCACTGCTCCGGCGGGGACGTCCGCGATCCAAGACCGTGCACGGGAGATCACTGTCCCGGGGGCAGATCCTCGAGACAGTCGCGGCAGTTCAACCCCTCAGCGCAGGGCAGAGCGGCGCAGATCGTTGGCAGCCACTACCACGCGTACCCGAACTCTCCACAAGCTGCGGCGCAGGCGTTTCCCGGCGCTCATACGCACCGCGGACGGCACAGCGACGGCAGCGGCCACGGAGGCGGCGCAGGCGCGCGGAGCAGAGCGCCCGAGGCTCAACCTGCGGGATGCACCGACGCCGGCTGCCCCCCGCCTGTCAGACAGTTCCAGCCGGTTGTGAACGACACCCGGGACTGCAGGGGGATCGAGTGCAGACTTCCCGCGAGGATTCGATTGAACAAGGCTCGAGTGAGGACCTGTGTCGGGGAGGGTTGTCTGCTGGCCGATGCCGAGGAGAGTCACTTCCCTCCGGTCCATGTGGCCGACAGAGCCGCGCAGTTTCTGGGAGATTTCCCGGAGTTTGGACATCCTCCGTCGGAGCTTGGCAGCGCGCCCCTGGGTGTCCAGCTCACATGTGACATCAAGCCAGGTCTGTTATCTCCATCATCAGCTGCAACATCAAAACATCCTCTGTCTGTGGTTGGAGGAGCTCATGATGGTTGAGTTTTTCTAAAAACCTCCAGAGAGGAAACACATTTGTGCAGCGGTTGAACCTTTGACCCAGTGGAGTCCAAGTCAGTGCCAGACCACTGTGATCTCCGGTGGGGCTGACCAATCACGTAATAGCAATAACGGATAATAACAACGGCAGTTAACTAAAAAACTCCCTTTGTTTTTCCTTTTTTTCTTTTTTTTTTCTTTTTGTAAAACTACTAGTACTTTTATGAGAATAACTTAAACCGTTACTTTAAAAAAATTATTCTCAGTTATATCTGCAACTGCAGAACAAAAGTATAAAGTCCCAAGATTTTATTTATACAACTTTCCTCATTTGTCTTAAGTTTCCACTCATACTTAAACCATTTTCTCTTTTTTTTCGCATTTTTTTCTTTATAGAATCTACAGCTGGTGTCTAATATTTAATTTTATAATAATTTTCTAAATGCTTCTTGAGGCCAGATTCGCTTCTCTGATGGACCATCTGTGCTCCAGTGACCATATGTTTGACAAACCTCCATTGAGGCCCAAAGGGAAAGACAAGAAGCAACTCTTTCTTACTGGAGCTCCAACAACAATTTATTCTTTAAAAAAAACCCTAATTTAGTTTAATTCCAAATCATTTATATTTTATTGCGTTGGAGCTCTGAACAGTTTGTCTTGTTCTGCAGCAGACCAGCAGGGGGTGTAAACACCTTGTTACTCAGCAGGTATCCAATTTAGCTCATTTAAGGAGGGGCGGGGGGGAGGGGGTTTGTGCCTCAGGGCCCAAACTGTTGCCCACCCTGTTGAACCTCTCCTGCTTCACTCTGGGATAGTGGAGACTTTGTTGACGTCTGCAGAGCAACAAGAGCAGCTGAAGTGGAAGAATGTCTCAGATCCAATTGTCCAGAAAAGTTTAAAGCGCTTTGATGTTGCCTCCAAGTTCATCCCATGTTCACACTCGGGGCCAGCGCTGTGCTGAATCCAGACGTCTGAGTCAGACTTAATTTCATTTAATCACTTCCTCCACTGCAGCGTAGAACACTCAGTCTGTCCATGTCCTTCACTCTGCATTACTGTCCCTGTAGGTGAGAACGAAGTCCCCTCAGAAGACGCCCTCATCCTGCACCTCCAGTTGGCCAAAGGTCAGGAGAAGCTGGTGGAGGCGCTGCGTTCCCAGCAGATGGTCATCCGTGAGCTGCAGCAGAAGCTTGTGGACCAACAGGAAGTGCTGCTGTCCCAGCAACGTGAAATCCTGGAGCAGCAGCAGCGCATGTACGAGCAGATGGACGTGGTGAAGTCTCAGTACGGCCTCCTCTCCGACACCGTCAAGCAGGTGTCCTTCCAAGGCCTGCAGGCTGAGCTGCAGAGCTACTTTGAGAGCCACTTGGCCGGACTGCAGAGCCAGGCGCGCAGCCACCTGCAGAAGTCGTACGCCGACCACAAGATGGACATGGACACGAAGGGGATGGACGTAGTTGGAGAAGCTCATTTCCCTCGGCCTGCGTTGATGTGTCTGTCTCCCTGTGGACCAGAGGAGTTCTGTGACTTCCAGAGGGATCCGCCTCAGTGTGAAAAGTGCACCATGTGTCCACCAGGCTTCTTCCTGATATCGCAGTGTTCCTCAACTGCAGACCGGATGTGCCAGGTACCGTTCCTCATACTGACAGATGCATCTTTGAAAAGTGTAAAAGTAGAACTGTTACAGGTTTTATAAATCTACAAGGACAGGGAAAAAAGCAGCTTGAAAAACAGCGTAGAGAAGCAAAGGTACATTTTGTTTGTCGCCATCGGTTGGTATCAACTGAGAATGCAGTTGAGGCGTTGCAATGCCATAAAATGAAAAGTTGAAATCAGTAGAATTCAACCCAGAACCTTCTAGGCAGCAATCCTATGAATGTGTCAATCTAACCCCTTTGTAACAGACATCAAAATTATTATTATTCTACGTGTCCACTGCTGCTCCATGACATCGATGCCTCTGTGCCTGCACAAAAACAAAGTCAACCTCAGCATCGCAGTTAAAAAAGACGCCCAGTTAATTGTTAATTGTTCGAAAAATGTCCTGATGATTTTTTTGATTTTACAGGACAGAGATGAATGCCTCGAACTACCAAGCATTTGTGGAGAGAGAGTAAAGTGTCTGAACACACCAGGTGATATATGTATATATAAATATATATATTTATAGGTGATGATGGAATAATACTGAATCGTCTGCAGAGTCTCTTTAGTCACATCTGTTCTCTCTCTGTTCTCTGTTCTCTGCTCAGGAGGCTTCAGGTGTCTGGGAGTGTCTGAGAGAGAAGCAGAGATGGGCCTGTGTGGCAACGATTACTTCTACAACCAGGAGTTGCAGGAGTGCCAGGCCTGCTCCGACTGTGACGGAGAACCCGTCGCCCTTCCCTGCACAGCCCTCAGCGACGCCGTCTGCAGCCAGCTGTCAGAGAGCCGACTCTCCCAGGCTTGGGCAGCCAAAGTAACGATTCCCTCCGCCAGGGCCTCCGGCACTCCCATCTTCCCTGGGCTCCAAATCAACATCCGTGGTAAGGATAGCAGCGATTTGCTGTCAAACGACGCGGGGAAGGTGACCTTCCTGCAGCACGGTCTGGTGTGGTTGGATCATAACTTTGCACTAAAGCACAGTTGCAGGAATTTCCTACAAGTTGGAATGAGGCTCAACGGGAGCCAGGAGGAAGAAGGTTTGGACCTCAGTGGAGTTCGCATCGAACAACCGGATGGGAAGTACATCCAGGGTGTGAGTGTTAGTACCGGGGTTGAAGTAGAGCCTAATCATACCCTAACTCTTCTGCTGAGGAGTCCCAATCAGCACTGCAACCAGAGTAAGGATCTCCACGTTTATGATGTAACTGCTCCTGCCTTCAGCCTCCTCTGGTTGTCTCATGACACCGGAGCCGTGGCCATGACGGCCCAGATGTCTCTGTTGGTCCACTACCAAACCAACTACCGCCCGACTTTCCGTCTTACCTCAGTGTCGGACCCATATATGATCAGCCTGACCCACGACAACCGCGGCGTTCGCTTCACAGAGAGTGGAGTGGTGAAGTTCATCCTCCAGCAGGCGCTCTACTCCATGGGCCAAACCTGTGTTCGCGAGGGTTTCTCCCTGATCGCCTACGCCAACCGCAATGGCACTGGTCGTGAGGTGATGCAGGCCTTCAAGGCGGGGGTCAACTACAGGGACACCTCCATCACCCTCTCTGGAGCGGTCAGCGTGGACAGTGGAGATACCCTCAGCTTTGAGATCACGTCTCCTTCCCAGTGCAACATCCGTTATTTTGGGGACGGCACTGGCATCAGCATGCTGAGCCTCATCTGGATACCTTCAGCGGTATCGTCGGCGTTGACCGCCACCGTGTCCAGGACCGGTCTTCCATCTGGAGCGGTCAGGAACAAACCTCTGCAGTTCCAGCAGACCAGCTCAGACACACCCCAGGTCCACTTGGCCCGCGCTGGTGAACCCAACAGCCGGAAGAACTTTGTTTTCCATGAGAAGGGGACAGCGAACATAGCTCTCAATCTGAAGCTCATCCACTCTTGTAATATCGTAAAACTCACTTTACATATGGTGGCAGGTTCAGACCAGAGCGGTCAGGCGGGTCCTGTGGCTCAGCAGGTGTCTGGATCCATGCCTGAAGGCAGTGAGTGGGCCAGCATCGGCCTGAGGGCCTCGTTTCAGGTCCAGAACGGCACTGCTGTCTACGTGACCCTGGACTGTATCCGAGGGCGAGTGAACCAGATAACACACGAAGGAGGAACTAACATTTCAATTCTCTGGGTTGCAGTGTGATTCTTAAAAAGGCGGAGCCTAACGGAGCCCTCAATAACACCATTGGTGAAGAAAATGAAAAAAAAACCCCAAACCAAAACAAACCAAAACAAAACATTTTTGCACAACTTTGAATTGCAGAGCAAATTCAACAATCTACCAAATCGTGGGAACTGGTGAGGAGAAAATGTTATAATCTGTTCTCAATATTTTATCATTTTCTATTGTTTTGGGTTTTTTTTTAAATGTGTGTTTTATCTTGTTCTAGACTTTTATTTGTGAAACCTTTGGTTTTACTCTCTATAAGTACTGCCTTTGCTTGAAGTACTTCGGCTGGTTGAGCAGTGACCAACTTTTCATGGAATGTTTGGGTGTGTGATTGTGTAAGTCTGTGTGTGTGTGTGTGTGTTCAAAAGTGTGTATAGACATTTTGGCATGCTTCCTTTTGCATTTTATACGTACGAGTCTTTTGATATTCTAAATCTTTCCATCCATGCATATATTGGAACATACATACCGTGTGTAACAAACATCTGTGTATCGTATTTTATGAGGCTTTTTTGATGCAGTAGTTTGGAATTCTGGGTAATTCCACTTACCAGATTTGCTGAATTAATACCATGTGGAGCAGCTAATAGGCTTAGCATACGCACGGTGGAGAGGCCAGTCTGGTATTGTCAAGGTGCATTAAATACATGATATACGTAAGTTGCTTGTTTGATCAAATTTGTAAAAAAAAGACCTGGGAATTTATGCTGTTTCAGTTTATAATATCTACAAAAATTGTTTATGTAGGATTGTTTGATGGCAGTCCATTTGAACGCCTTGAATTATGAGACTTGTGTGGCCCCCGTGGTATCTGTGGCCCCCCAGGGAGAGGGGGAGAGCGGGGCTTAAACGACACATTAATTCATAAGTTATTTCGCCAAATTCGTCGGTCAGCACCACCTGTAATGGACAGCGACAGGTGCAGTGCACTCTATGCTGTAATAACAAAAGGAAAAAAAAAATCTGTTTTTTTTTCTCTTTATTTAATTTCACTTACTTCACTTATTTTTTTTTTTAAATCCCTTGAACCCATCGGTGCTAATACTAATAAATGTGTGATTCTTTCGTAGCCAAACAACTCTTCTGGTCCACATGCGAGATGCTAGACATAGGCCACTGAATGCCAGCATGGGCCACTAGGGGCCCATAATTCCTTGCTGCATGTAGCCAAAGTGACATAGGTTGTTTAACCGACTAACAGACCAGATGAGTTATGTGATGAGTAGAAAATGCTAAGACGCGGTTTAAATGTTTACATTTGAAAATGATAAACTTTCTGACATCATTTCACTTTTTGCACATGAAAATCAGACTTTTCCTCATGTTGTCTTTAATCGTTGTTTTTAGGCTAAAACAACCGCAAAACAACAAAGCAAAGCAACATTAGTTAAAAAAGTTTATTCTCAACATTAAACGTTTACCTTTGAAGTTCCACAGTGTCACTCAAACGCAATGCAGTTAATTTTCAAGAGGAAAAGGAGCTTTTGTACTTGATGATGTTTTTTTTGATGATATTTATTTGCCTTCTTTTACTGCGGAGACATTTGTATTTACACTATGAAAATTATCCAATAGTTAGTATATGTTTGAAGCTCTAAGTAGGCAGTGTTTATGTACAAATACCTGCAGTGATGGCCTCAGTCTCACAGGTATTTGCAGTAAGTATAACAGTATTATGGAGTAAGCAAACGAGATACTTTGTTTGTGAGTATCTGTCCGTGTGAGAGTGTCCTCTGTCCTCTGTCCTCTGTCCTCTGAACACATAGACATGAAGTTCTGCAGGTTTATTTTCCTTCATCGTGTCTGTCAGTTTCTGTGGCGTGAGAGTGTGAGCGACTGAAGCCCTGTTTAATGTAACATCACAGCATGTATGTATTCCTCTTCAACACCAAATAAATTGTACCTGGTACTGTATTTTGAAAAGTTTTATTTTAGCTTTAAAAATTTTTTTTTTCCTAGTTTATAATAGTCAAAAGATGTAGTAGTGCAAAATATCCTTTAAAAACCTGTGTCTCATCAGCATAGAAAGTAAAGCTCTACGCTGATGATAGAACATCAAATCTGCAGCATTATGATTCGACTAATGTGCCGAGGTTATAGATTTAGTACTCAAATGATCAAGTTTCTGTTGTCTCTCCTGATTGGTCATTATCGTTGAAATTAATGTTGCAAATTCCACCTATGGAAGAACTGTTTTCTGGGTTTAACATCACCAAAAAAAAAAAAAAAGAAAAGAAGAGAGAAGTACATTGTGTCTGCCTCTAAGAAACAATCAACTGTTTCTGTGGCTTTGCTGGAATTAAAAACAGGTGTTTTTGTTGGGGCCGTGGTCCAGATGTTTGATGCTTTAGAAGAATTTAGGGCCACACTGGAACGCATGAAGTTCAGACATCAGAGGGAGACAAAGGGAGATGGAAAATCAGAGCAGAGAGGAAGAAAGAAAGAAGGAAGAAAAACCACCACAGAAGAGACAAAGTGTGTGTGTGTGTGTGTGTGTGTGTATGCGCGAGAGTGCATGTGTACTGAAGCCTTTATCTGTAAAGCAGCTCTAATCAATACTTTCTACATTAACAACATTGAAACAAATGGTTTCTGCTTCCTCGCAGTGATGAAGTAACACAGAGTTTCTGCCAGACTCTGTACTTTTCCTCTTTGCTCTTGGTTTTTATTGGGTCTCTTTTAAGTTTTTTTGTGTGTTAAATGTGTGTGTGTTTGTGTGTGTCTGACAAATGTTAGCTGTCAGAAGTGTTTCCACCAGCTGTTTATAACAAATCTGCTACTCGAACCATGACAAATGATGGATAGTGAGCTGTCATTATTTTTGGTTTTCCAAAAAAACTAAACAAAAAAAAAAGTCTGAATGAAGTGAATATTTGAATTGTATGAAATTAAGACCTGGTCAACCTATGGGCCATGGTTGATTTTAAGTACGGTGTAGATGTGACCCACGTTGTTGATGCACATTTTTTAAATGTGTTTTAAATCCTGATCTTTTTTTTTTTTTTTTTCAGGTTGGATTTTAGTAAACATTGAATGAACTAGAAGGCAGTGTTATAAAGGTCGCGCAGTTCTGTGGGTAATAGAGTGACGTGCAATGTGTGAGAGAGTGTGTGTGTATATGTGTGTGTGTGTGTGTGTGTGTGTTCATGCCAAACCACAGTGAAGACACCAAGCAGGAAATTGCTCACAGATGGTGTTATTTTCTTTCATATTAACAGAAGGATATTTCAGGCCAAAGAAAACAAATATTTCTGTGTCGAACAAAAAGTCTTTAAACTGACACTGCTGTCACATTTGACAATATTTCAATTTCAACTAAGGATAAAATAAATAAAAACAATATGAAACAGGAAGATAAGTTACATTTAACTCTCTGCATACCAGTACTGCTACACAGTCCCACCAGTTACACAGCCAGCTGAGCAGAAAGTGAGCAGAGCTTTTACACAAACTAGTGCATTTCAAAAACATTGCACAGCAGTTTTAGCTTTTGTTCCGCGTCACGCAAATTGAAGATTTTGTCCCACTTTTTCATTCGGCATTACTTCATTGAAAATACACTATTTTCTGTGGCTGGCGGTCCATTGGCAGTCTATCGGTGCAGTCCACAGCAGTGATAGGTCACTTCGTGGATGAGGCGGTAGCTGACTGGCTGGGTGGCGTGTCAATCAAACTGACTGACTCGCAGCAATCACACACTCACGTTAACGTCTGAAATCCTGGAACGTGCAATTGTTTTGATTCAGTGAAGGCGTCCATGTGTAGTGTGGCCGAAAAAAAGGAGAAGACGCCGCCTTTTGGCTGAGATCGGTGGATGGAGAGTCTGAACCAGAGATCTGGAATTTGTGTAAAAAACGGCTTTTCTGTCGCCATGGTAGTGACTGTGATGGGAAACGACACGATGCATGTGAGTCTCACACAACAAATACACAACAGGAAACATCCAAAAGTGTGCAGGTTTTTTTTTTTCTGCAAACCAAATGACACTGAGTTGGATAACATTACAGTCTAGGTTTTAACTGTTGGTTGATTTTCTGCTGTGTTTCAGAAACGTGATATATATATATATATGTTTATTTATTTATTTATTTTTATGTTTTGATGTCACAGATGGCCATATAATCCACGAGAGATGTCGGTTTTTACAGAGAACTGTTTATATTGTAGTTTAATTTGACATCAGGTCATATTTTATCAGGTCACATCAGGTTAAATGTGAAAGAATTCACAGAGAATTCAAAGAGTTGGCTTTAAATGATTACTTGTCCTGCATTTTATCGGTTTAGAGGTGGTCTTTCCAGTAAACAAAGTGTCACTCTAATTGTGTAGAACTATTTCCATAGACAGTGCTGATAACAAGAAATACAAACCTGATTTTTTGTGCATTTTAAAGCCAATATCCAACAATATACACACATTCGCTCCAGTTGTTGTATCCATCAGCCAGTGGAAAAACTGTGACTTTATACCTGCTTCTTATTAGGTCTGTCGTCCATTTAATGCTGTGGATCCAGGTGGTTTTTTTGTACTGTTTTCAGCTTTCTTTCTGTACAAAAAAACAGATGCTTTGAGCAAATGGAAAAAATGCTAAGCAATGACGCAACAACTCGAAAGTTGGGTTGTGGCCAAAACAAAAAGTCTAGCAGTGAGCTGACGGCTGCTGTTAGGCTTCCTAGACATGAGTTTCTGCAGACAGTTGTCGGTTAATTATTCTCTGTGGTTTCAGTAAATGCTCCATTAGTGGCTTTATAAGAGGAGCTGTTTGTCATCATGGTGACCTACTCTATGTGTTCACCTTTAAAACACACATGAAACAGGTTGGATGCCACTGTCGGATGACGCAGTGAGAGAGAGGTAGACATTGCAGGACAGTGCCGCGTTGCTACAGAATTGCTTTTTCTTTTGCTATTGTGTATGTGCAGGTAGAACAGAGAGACATCAGTCATCGCCACGCTGCATCTGATGTGAGTTTATTTGCTTTCTCATAGATTCCTGTTTGGAGACCACGCAAACAGCCCGAGGGAGTAAATTCTTCTTCTTACCAAAGTGACATCTCTATGGAAGCTCCTGGGACACCTGGAAAATCCTGGAAAAGGTAAAAAAAAATTCTTATGCTAATCCCAATTTTTTAAAATGCTCTAATTTGATTAGAAACACGCAGGAACATTTAAATTTAGAATTTTTATTTCAATTTTATTTTCATTAAAATTTTTCACCTTCCAAGTTTTTTAGTATTTTTTCTCTAAAAATTCTTCAAAATATTTTTTTTAATTTTTCAAATAGAATTTTTTTTTCAAAATAAATTTTCTTAAAAATTATCAAAAAATAACTTTTTCTAGGAAAATTTCAAACCGCTAATTTGATGAGAAACATGCAGGAAAAAATACAATTAAAAAAAAAATTTTACAAAAATTTTGTCAGATTTTTCGATTTGACCAAAAATGTAAAAAAATTTCACATTCTGACCAAAGATTTTATGAAATAAAAAATTAAAAAAAAACATTTTAACATCTAAATAAAAAAACCTTTTTCGAAAAAAATTTCCAAAAAATCTTATTTCTTAAAATTTTTCAAAATAATCACATGGGAGCATGTTT